TGATCATGCCAAATGGTGCAGAGAGGTTAGCCTGGGTCCTGGCTGATGATAGTTCTTTTGCCACAAAATCCATGGTCGGTCTTGACTCTGCATTAGTGCGCGTACATGCCAAAGCCATGGTTACCACAGAAGCCACTGCTGCTGCTGACTGACCGGGAGGAGGCCTTAGTCGTTGGTCTAACAAATCCTTCAAAAGCAATTCTGCATTTTCTGGTAATGAGACTGATAGAGAAGCTAAAAGCTCCCCAGGATGCCTTCCCATCATTATTTCTAATGCCACCACTCCAAAGCTGTACACATCACACTTAGCCGTCACACGCATTGTGAAAGCTAGCTCTACATGCACATCAAAGCAACAAAATCAACCAACATTTTTCTATCATAAACAATATGTCAATATAAGTCATGTATAAATTGAATATTAGTTTGTTGGATTTTACCTGGAGCCATGTAGCCGTAAGATCCAGCTACAGAAGTCCAATTTGATGAATCTGTGCTCAACAACCTTGCAGTTCCAAAATCCGATAACCATGGCACGAAACCCTTCTCGAGTAGTATGTTGTTCAAAGTTATGTCCCTGTGAACAATTGGAGGAGAGCAGTCATTGTGCAAGTAAGAAATTGCATGAGCTAGCCCTTGCACAATTTTCACCCTTGTGCTCCATCCAAGTTCTGCTTCCCCTGTCCCATACAATACTTTTCTCAAGCTACCTCTCTCTGCATATTCATACACCAAGTACAAGCACTCCCTCCATGAACAGAACCCATAAAGCTTTATTATGTTTCTGTGCCTCACTTCTGTCAAGGTTCGTATTTCATTCCCAAAACTCTGGCGATTTATTTCTGGAATGTCACTAGAGTCTGAAATGTTCAGCTTCTTAACTGCAACCACTTTTCCCCTGCCCAACACAGCCTTGTAGACACTCCCAAATCCGCCTTTTCCAATGTGGTACTTCTCATCAAAGTTCTCTGTTGCCTTCACAATTGCACCAAATTTGAAGTTTCCGTATCTTCCCCATATCCCTGAATCAAAACTCTAAGACATCCTAGGACTTTCAGTTTCCTTTGGTTTTGATTTGCGGCAGAAATTTAGAACTACAGCAGCACTTGTAGTTGCAACCACTAATATTAAAGTACCATCATCAAAGTTCTCTGTTGCCTTCACAATTGCACCAAATTTGAAGTTTCCGTATCTTCCCCATATCCCTGAATCAAAACTCTCAGACATCCTAGGATTTTCAGTTTCCTTTGGTTTTGATTTGCGGCAGAAATTTAGAACTACAGCAGCACTTGTAGTTGCAACCACTAATATTAAAGTACCGGAAACCAGGAGTCCAAGATGAACCTTGTTAATCTTGTTGGACTTTCCGCGATTTGAGTTGCATGGATTTAGTCCCTCTGTATCTCCACATAAACCATCATTTCCAACAAAGGCATTTGCAGGCACTTTTCGAAAAGCGTCACCAGTTGGGATTGGACCAGTCAAGTTATTGTAAGAGAAATCAATGCCAAATAGACTGTCCATTTGGGAAAATGTTTCTGGGATGCTCCCTGAGAGATGGTTATGTGAAACATTAAGAATCTGCAGATGTTTTAGCTTAGCCAGTTTTGCAGGAAGCGATTCTGAGAGTGAATTGCTGCTGAGGTCCAACAAGTACTGCAAGGGCAAATTACCAAGCTCTGGTGGTATTTGACCAAATAAATTGTTGTGGCTCAGATTTAAAGTTGACAACCTCTCAAACTTACCAAGCTCTGTGGGGATGTTTCCTAACAAATTGTTTTTGGATAAATCAAGTTCCCGGAGATTAGTCAAATTGCTTAGACTCTTGGGGATGTCTCCTGTCAAATGATTCTTGCTCAGATTGAGCTTGTACAGTAGGCCTAAGTTTTCCAACTGAGCCGGAATGTATCCAGTCAAGTCATTAGAGTCCAGGATTAGTACTCCCAATTTGCTCAACTTCCCAAGCTCAGATGGGATTTGACCAGAAATTTTATTTCTATCCATCAATAAGCGAATGAGACTTTCACATTCTCCCAATTCTGGTGAGATTTCACCAACAAATTGATTATTGCTGAGAAAAACAGAGTTAAGATTAGGATGAATACCAAATGAATTTGTAATGCTTCCCGTGAATTGGTTGTGACCAACAGCAACTTTTTGTAGTTTTGAACAATTTCTCAAGCACTTTGGCAATGACCCAGAGAAGTTGTTATCACCTACAGACAATTCTTCCAGAGCAGAACCGCTACACAATTCTGGTGGCAGCTCTCCTGTAAAGCTGTTATCCGAAAGGCACAGAATGCTCAAATTAGGACTGTACCTGCCAAAATCCCTTGGAATGCTTCCCGAAAAATTATTGGTGAACACAGAGAATGACTTTAATTTAGTAAGCCGAGAAATGGTGCCTGGCAACTCTCCATATAGGTGGTTCTGGTTAGTGTCTGCATCAAATTCCTCCAGCGACACCATATTTTCAATCTCTGGTGGAATCATCCCAGTGAGATTGTTGAAGTAAAGGTAGACTGTCTTAATATTTGTGAGGTTCCACAGTGTCATAGGGATTGGCCCTGAGAGCTGGTTTCCTGAAAGAGCCAATATTGTCAAATCTTTCAAGTTACCAATCTCTGAAGGAATTGATCCAGAGAAGTTATTGTTGTTTAGAAAAAGGTAGTTGAGCTTTGTCAACAGGCCAATTTCTGCCGGAATATTCCCACTGAACTTATTGTTTTGAAGTTGCAAAGATTCCACTTCAGTCCAATTGCAGATAAGGGAAGGCAGGATGGGACCCGTAAGAATTGAACCGATATCTTCAGGAATTGGGGCACTGAACTTGTTCCCTTGTGCATGAAGGTGTTTGAGCTTGGAAAGTTTGGAAAAGTTTTTTGGGAAGGGTCCTTGAAACAGGTTTTTAGTGAGATTGAGATATTCAAGTTTGGCCAGATTGTTACATACTGCTTCTGGTATTTGGCCAGTCATATTAGTCTGAGACAAGTCAAGGAATGTCAAGTTCCAGCAGTGGGATATGAAATCTGGGAAACTTGAATTTAGAAGAGTATTATCATGAATATCAAGGTAGGTCAATGAAGGCATGCCAGAAAACTTGGACCAATCAGGAGACATAAAGATGTTTGATGCAAGGTCCAAGTACCGTACCTTTTGGAGATGGCTTAGTTGATAAGGGATGGCACCATAGAGACTGTTGTTGTGGAAACTCAAGTACTGCAGCTCTGCTAGCCTGCCTATCTCAGATGGTATTTCTTGATCAAAAACGTTGTTGCCCAAGTCCAAGAATGTGAGGCTGGTGAGGTTGCCAATGGCAGATGGAATTTGTCCACTGAAATTGTTGCTGAAGAGGTTGAAGTGAGTGAGATTGGGAAACCGGATGAAGTCGAATCGGCTTAATGTTCCAGTGATGTTCATGTTGGAGAGGTCTATTTTGGAGACTGTTCTGGTTTTGGTGGTGTGATTGCCGCACGCAATGCCGGTCCAGTTGCAAAGGTTGTTGATGTTAGTGAGGGACCATGAATGGAGAAGTGAAGGTGGTGGAGAAGAAGAAGAAGAAAAAAAGCTTCTCTTCCATTTGATCAGGGCCTCTGCCTGTGCTCTTGAGTTTGGAAAAGTTTTTTGGAAAGGGGCCTTGAAACAGGTTGTTAGTGAGATTGAGATATTCAAGTTTGGCCAGATTGTTACATACTGCTTCTGGTATTTGGCCAGTCATATTAGTCTGAGACAAGTCAAGGAATGTCAAGTACTGCAGCTCTGCTAGCCTGCCTATCTCAGATGGTATCTCTTGATCAAAAAAGTTGTTGCCCAAGTCCAAGAATGTGAGGCTGGTGAGGTTGCCAATGGAAGATGGAATTTGTCCACTGAAATTGTTGCTGAAGAGGTTGAAGTGAGTGAGATTGGGAAACCGGATGAAGTCGAATCGGCTTAATGTTCCAGTGATGTTCATGTTGGAGAGGTCTATTTTGGAGACTGTTCTGGTTTTGGTGGTGTGATTGCCGCACGCAATGCCGGTCCAGTTGCAAAGGTTGTTGATGTTAGTGAGGGACCATGAATGGAGAAGTGAAGGTGGTGGAGAAGAAGAAGAAGGAAAGCTTCTCTTCCATTTGATCAGGGCCTCTGCCTGTGCTCTTGGTGTTGGAGATGATGATGCGGTTGTGATCAGTGGCAATGAGGAAAACATGAAAATGTGAAAGAGGAGGGAAAGAGGTTTCTGAATCATTGGCATGGTTTGGACTTGCATTTGCTTTAGTGTTGGATCTGATTTGAGTTTGTCAACTTGTGACAAAGTTTGGGAATTGTTTTCGTGAATGGTTCATTTCTTAGATGCATGCATGCTTCCTTATATAGAGAAGAAGCACGAGTTACACATCTCACTTGGACTCTCCCATTAATTTGTTTCACACGCACAATTTCGGCTTATAACCCATTTGGGACTGGATTTCACATGTGAAAATCATTTTTCACCATCACATGTTTTTGGCTTTGAAAAGGTAACCGTTCACAAAATTATTAGCATTAAAGAAGCCACTCGGAAAGCAGAATGATAGCCACTTCCTAATTAGATTAGCTTTGGCTTACGTATTTTAAAGCTTAAAAGGCAGAGCAGCCAGTTAAGTTAAACAAACATTAAGTAGCTAAAGTGTGTGAAGCAACTGATTACAATTTACAAGTCTATGACATTACTTTGTCGTCCATTCATATTTTAACAAGTGAGTTAGTATCATCATCAGTGACGAAGCTAGAATTCCTAACATGGAGGGGCCAAAATTTCAAAATCACTTCCACATAGGTCTTTCATTTTCAACTGAGAGGGCCAACACTAATCTAATTGCAGTAATTATATTGCTATATTATATGTTTTATAATATATTACAAGAGATTGAAAATTAAATGGGGGGTCCAGGCCATGGCATAGGCCTTGCTGTGGGTTCGCCTTTAACCACCATATAACTATATAACTGTAAACACGAAAAAAAAAAAATCCTAATCAAAATCCCGATATCACCAAAATCCCGATATCACCAATTAGTGCCTGAATTGAATTCATAAGTAGAAGATGTTATGGGAGGTAGATAAAATACTATATGATCTTACAAATTTAATAAAACACATTGCATTAAAACCATCTCCAAGTGCCCAAAGTGAACTTGAGTCCCAATGAACAATGAGTGTTTCACCTCAAAAGTTGTGGGTTCAAATCAATGATATGAAAGGAAGCTGTGTAGCTGCGCCGTTTTTCCAAATCAAGAACAACTCTTTGCTTGGACTACCGCTTGAATTCAAAATAGTGTGTGTGAGAAAACTTCATCCCTTTGTGACTTATAATTTGGACTACCGCTTGAATTCAAAATTTAAAAAAAAATTCTCACTAGCTACAATTTTTTTGCTTACATTTGGATTGGGCCTACAGAAGGCCCATATAACGAGTGTTGAACTAGCCCAGTCTAGCCCAACATCCTGAGAAAAATGCGGGAGCCAACGGATCTATTTGGCGGGAAGTAACGGGCCACCAAGTGCTTGTTTCTTCCTCTTTTCTGTGAAAACTGTCATTCTCAAAATCTCATTGCCAAATTTGTTTAGGTCTCGGCAACGACTTCCTCCAAAAACCTTCAAATCCAAGGTACCCAGAAGCTGAGAAATTTTAAATAAATAATAAATAAATAAAACCGTAATGTTATGGTGTGGGTACTAAATAGGTAATGCTCTTTGCCACCTCTCTTCTTTCCATAAGTTTCGTGGGGATTTGATAGATTTCACCACCTTCTCTCAATTCTTGGTTCCTCACAAACCTCAACAACCTTTGCAATTGGACTGCCATTGTCTGTGACCACAACACCAAAACAATTTCCCAAGTTGACCTCTCCAACTTCAACATCACTGCAACACTAACCCATTTCCACTTCACCCCATTTCTCAATCTCACCCAATTCAACCTCAATGGCAACAATTTCACAGGGCCTATGCCATCCGCCATTGACAACCTCTCCAAGCTCACAACTTTGGACTTGGGCAACAACTTATTCAGTCAAGAAATACCTGTGCAGATAGGAACTCCTGACTGGTCTGAATTTTCAGGTATGCCTTCGTTGACTTACCTTGATCTTTCTGGAAACCATTTCTCTTCAGAATTTCCAAAATTTATATCTGAATGCCGGAACTTGACATTCCTCGACTTGTCTACAAATATTTTTACTGGGCAAATACCAGCTCAGGTATTTACCAATCTGGGCAAGCTTGAATATCTCAATATCACCAACAACCAATTCCAAGGACCACTGCCATCAAACTTTCCCAAGCTTAAACACCTTCATTTAGCAAAAAACAACTTCGGTGGTGCTATTCCTGAAGATATTGGAAAATTGACTCGGCTTGAGGTTCTTGATTTGTCAAATAACAATTTGACAGGAGAAATACCACCTGAGCTTGGAGCATTTGACAAATTCACAGGCGTGGCGTCCTTAGCTTATTTGTAGCACTTGGATCTCAGCAGCAATTCACAAGCTTAAAGGTTTTCAATGTCTCACACAACCATATATCAGGCGAAATTCCATCAGCATTTTTCAAAATTCTTAGTGTGGGAGCAATTTTTTACCCACAAGAATATTCGTCTAAGATTCCGTCTTCCTCTTCGCTTCTCTTTCTCCTTGCAAAACAATACGGAGTAAAAAACCACACTCGGGGGTGTTAGCTAAAGGTCCTCTAATGCCTAAGTTAGGTCGAGTGTTTGTAGGAAAACAATATCTAACAATAGAATGCAGATTTATCTAGGGTGACAACCGGGTGGCCAGAGCCTTGTATGTGAGAGAGAAAAAGTATGTCGGCTAGGGTTTGTGAGAGAGAACTTTTGTAGAGTTTCAGACAGAAGTTTAGACATATATTCTTGTGGGACGAATATAATGGGCTCGAGTTGAGTCGAGTTGGGCTTCAAGAAGGAGAG